AAAAATCACCAACTTCTGAAGAAAATCCTAAAAAATTAAAAATCAAGGAGAGATGTAGCACTATCGTCGTTGCGACATTGTTTTTAAATTTATAGACAAAGAATAGAGAAATAAGATGACTTTATATTTCATTAATTAATATATTCACATATATATTATATATAGTGTGTACTAAATCAACTTAGTCTGTAATTGACAGTTGACTCATAAAAAGAGCTATTTATCCAAAAAATGTGTCAATAATATACCACCAGATTACACGTTTTGGAATTATTCTAATTGCATCATTTGACTTAAAGTAACCAATCATATCATTAATTGCACAGGTTCAGGGCCATGAACAGGCTTTCTGTGCGTGATATGCAGGAGTCTTATAAAAGAAATCATAGTAAAGTTTTAAGTTAGACTTCCATTGGATTCCAGAGAGGTTCCATCTGAGTTCCTAGACAGTCTCGAAGCTGGATAGGGTTGAGAAATGGTTTTAGCTAGTATTGTTATCTATTATGCTTGTATCCATATGTATTCGGCTATGCTATATAAAATGTAGAAGCGAACTGTTGCATTGTTATTCCTGGTAGGACAAACGTCTTAAGAAAACAGTAAGAAGTAAATACACAACGTGAAGCAGAAGTAAAGACAGCTAGAGACAAATTCTAGACGATCACAGGGCTACATACATATGTAGTAAGAAAAGATGCATGGGTCGTACGTAGGATGTGGCGACCGGTTTTAGTGCGTGTCCGCTCTCCATGTCAGACAAAAGACCTATGGTGCTACAAAGATCGAACTCTAAATCTCAGCTACTGCGGTGTAATTTTCCAAATCGTCTTAGAGAGGAGACGGATGCAAGAACTCCCGTGACTGGGGGCCCTCAGAACGAGCCACCTCTGGGAAGACGGATACCGGCAAGACGTTAAACCCCAGGTCATTCCATTTGCTGTATAATGGATGCCTTGTTTAGACTTAAAGGAACGAGGGGGTGGGGAATGGGTCAATGAAATTGTGTGGAACTGAATTAGGCGTGGAAAGATTTCAAAAAGGTCCGAACAAGCGATTATTGTAATTATTTGAGCATGCATGAGTTATTATTGGAGTTTTACCACTGAATAGATTATGGTTAAAGAAAGTAGTAAAGGCAAGTAAAAGGAAATGTATAGTAAAGACAAGTCAAACGAACTTTTGAACTATAAAATACGAAACGAAATAGGATTTGTGTTTTGATCAGATTGTCATTTCATTTCATTTGCTATATGAATGGCTTGTTTAGATTTAATAAAAAAAAACCCAGAATATTCTACATGAGGAAATGACTTCCAAAGGGGTTAGATCAGCAGCCCAGAGCACTTTGGTCAAACGAATGAGGTACCAATATCTGAGTACCGGAATGAATACTGTATAACCTAGCATATTCGGATATGGATGTCTGCCGGGGTCCCGTTGCTGCATGTGGCCTTTGGGGCCCCAAAGAGTGCACCCAAAAATGGGCTGGATCAAACATTGTGGATACCACTCGGAAACAAGTTGAAATGAACAGATACATCCCCCTGAGTACAAAACAGGCCCTGCCAGACAAATTGTCCTCCACATAGGGCCCGCTAGACGCCCCAAATTTCGAGCTAGATTAAACATTGGAGGTACCATACGAAACAAAGTTTAAATGAACAATTAGACTCTACTAAGTATAAAAATCCCAATGTCAGACAAATTGTCTGCTGTAAAATCCCCGCCAGACACCCAAAAAGTTGGGCCTCGCAGACATTGTGCTGAAAGTGAGCTGGATCAAACATTGGTCCGAGCAAGAGAAAGGAGGACTTGGAGCATGATAAGTTGTTATTGGACCGTGAATTCAATGAAGAGATTAAAGTCGAAGAAAGTAATTTAGTTAGGGTAAGAGAAATGACGCTGTTAATGTTATTATTTCCAGCTATAATTGTTGGGTTTGATTATCGTAATGTTAAAAACAGATAGAAGGCCGATGTGTTATAACTAGAAAATCTTAAAACTAATTTCTATTGTTCATTTTAATTATAAAACTATTTTCCCGCTGAAAACAAAACCGCACCATGCAAAAGTAACTTTGGAAGTCATTTCGTAATTTTTGTATACAATACTGTCAGCAGAATAATATTGTCTGCGGAATAGTAATGACATTGTCAGACAGTGTTAGAGAGCATACAGGGATATAGAACACGGCATTTGTAATATTTATTTGATAGTGTGTCTTTTAAGCTTGTCAGTAACATCAGGGTTGAATTTTAACATGGCACTGAAACATTCGTTTACAGCAGTTGTCTCCCTTTAATTACTTTATGAACTATTTCTGTTATGTAATTATATTATTTGTATGCTATTATCCATTTATATTATATTTGCCCTGGTAGTTTTATGCTAAGTAAATCCTTTATAGAAAATATCCCCTTGTTGTTTTCATCTTGAACAGTTTATTACCTGTCAGTGTTAGTTATAAGTCAGTGTAACCCATTAGCTGAATTTTACTGCTCTACTATTCAAACGTAGGAGCATATAACTGGGGCTACGCAACTCTGTTATCTTTTAAATTGTAAAACTTTGGATGTGTATTCTGTTTTGCAGGTCCTCCCCAATAGCACAATTTTCCCAATAGCACACTGCATGGCGTATGTCCATATTCATTAGCCCAGTCAATTCAATAAGATAGGAAGTTAAAGCGGATTTCATTTAAACATACATTATGCAAGAGCTAAATCTGCCTATTGCAGGTCTTTTTTTTTTAGCCTGAAATGTTTTCTAAATTATTAATTAGACATTAATTAACTGATCCAGGCCATAATCAACACTCGATGGCATCGGAATTCTCCGATATTAAATAGAACGGTTCAGACATATTTTGATTTGATCTAAAAATGGAAGAGCGAGACTTAGCTTCGAACAACCAGTACGGTGGTTGAAATTATTGCACACGTCTTGTCAAACCTTCAAGGGCTAATATCTTCGCTCGCAATAGAGTAATTTGAATGGAATTTTCAAATTATTCATTTTACATTATCTATTTTTGAGCTGTTATAGCAAGAATGGTCAGCTCCTTATCTAAATCTTACATAATATATCATTAAGGGGGCTAAATCTCAAACTCATTATCTACAATATTATTCGAGATCAATCTAATTAAAACACAGATCCTAATTCGTTTCGTTTTTTATAGTTCAAAATTTCGTTTTACTTGTCTTCACAACACTAGGATCTAGCAGAGTTGTTATATAACAGGCGTTCTAGTTGATGTGAGGAATTAGGCAATGAAACGGTCTGTTGCGGCGAGTTCTAGGCGTGCACTGCAAAGAACTGCGGGTAACCCTTGGAAACGTTAACGCTGATTGATTAATCAATGTCTGGCGTCATAGGGTTAAAAGGCACTCTTATGACCCGACTCGACTTCCCAGTACAACTGGTCAGATCTTCATGTAGTGTAGGCGATCGAAAGTATAAAAAACGAAACGAAATATAGATCTTATTTTAATCAGATTGATTCGAGATTTATACATTAAGTATAATTCAATATTGGAGTAATCCATACTGGTATTATCTAACCGTGAATGTCTGAGACGCTATGCACAATATATTAAAGATGTGCTATGCCTATTGTGAGAATGAGACCTATTTAATTGGTTTGGTTATGGATTTGTCCCCTGAAACCACCCAGATTCCGTATTTGTACAACCGATTCGTACATAGCTATTACTAGGCAACAAATACAAGCGTACAGAAAGACGTGATGAAAGATCTTACATTTTAAGATTCAGATATTGCAGATAGTTCTGATCATGTTACATATTGTAGAAATTTGTGTCCAACTCGTGGGCGTGACAGGGCAAATTTTAAGTAGTCCAAATACGGTTTTGACCAACTGAACCCCGTCATATTTCATATTTGTAGAAGTGACATATATAAAGATAAAACTTGGCTCCATTTTCAGTTATATTGCTTATGAGGCAAGGTTTGCGCCCCACCCCCGGCCTAGTTTTGTGTGTAGTCCAAAAGAGGCAACAAATTTGCGACATGTACATACCCGACTCATCACGTTACGACACCCGTTGTATGTTGACTACTCTATCACTTAACCACAATCCACCGTAGTTGTTTCACACGTTGATGTAGTTCGAACGACCATCCCGCACACAAACCAACCCCAGACTACTAACCTGCTGACAAGCTACACAAACAAAATCCACACCACAAACCTGCTGACAAGACACAAGCTACATACAATTATAAACAACGATATCAAATCAAAGTTTCCGGGTTATTTAATTCAGATGTAATTGTCAAAATATGTTTCTACCAAAATGTATTCCACGAATTCACGACCGAACAGCAAAATTATGTGCTTTGACCGAACGCAACACCAATATGGTTATCAAATTCGACATAATATCACAGTTTAGTAGACAGTGGACAAAACTATTAATGTAAAAAGCACGGCGCATACTGGGCATTAACATAACCAACTAGCACCAATTCTTCACAGCCAAGATTTGTGGACCTGCTTCCGGAATATTGTGGGGCTGTAGACGGAATTTCCAGAGTATTATTCTTTGATTAGATGTACCCACTCCCCCTTCCTCCTCTCCCCACCCACCCTCGGCAATGAAACTACCATTCACATCAATGTTAAAAGTATAGTTTGTGTTTCTGTCTATCTTGTTGCAATTATCATGTTAAAGTCGTTGGCGGGGCTAGTGAACACTGAAGTTTGGCGTAAGGTCTTGGGGATTACCCGACAATTTGATATAATTATCAGAAGAATATGGGAGATGGTAGGGCGCAGTTGTCTGAACAGATAATAGATACAATTATCAGAAGAATATGGGAGATTGTAGGGCGCAGCTGTCTGACCAGAATTTTGCCCATAGCACACTGTATCTATACATGTCTTCATTAGCCCAGTCAGTGTAGAAACGTAGGACTTAAACCCCATTTCATTTATTCCTCTACACTATATTATATAGCACCGCACGTCAGTAGAATGACATTAGATATAAAATATTTTATTGAATAAAAAATATAAAACATTGTTAATTCATTATACAGTAGAAAGTTCAAACCTAAATCATATACATCTTGGAAAAATATTCTAGAACAGTCTAACAATGTAACCACCTGGTAACCACGACTACAACCATTTTTCTATATCACCTGGGACCTGTTTCACAAAATTTTAACTAAGATAAAATCCAAATTTTAGTAATTTGATTGGATAATATTAGATTGATTTTAGTGCTGAGTCAATCAACATTGAAGTAGCTACTAAAATTGGATTTTTTTTTATCTTTTGTTAAGACTTCGAGAAACAGGGCCAAGATAACCACGAATGAGACCATTACTTTATGTCAGTTAATTACCACCTGACCACGCCAACTTATACTCTCATAATCGTGACTATTTAATTACAGCTTTATATACAGCATTAAGGTAGTTTTGTATTAGGAGGTCAGTGGGGGTGGGGTGTATATGATACCTGGTTAAATATTACCAACACAACAACTATCAACCCACCACTCTAACAATTTAACCCAACCTCACCACCTACACAAGAGACAAGAAGACAATCGATACAATAAATTTTAATAATACCTAACATCGTTCTGATTAATATTTAACCTCCTTCAGATTTACCCCTCCCCTCTCCACCCCACCCCCATATAGAACAAAATAGGAGGAAGCAAGTGTGTTGAACCCATCAAACTATCCTATCAATATAATCACAGTAAGTACAAAACGTCGTCCTGGTCTACAACACCTAGTTGTTCCAGGCTAGAGTCGTTCTTGTTCTCATCACTGCAGTAGATAATTGTCTTACCATCCTCTCTCTTAGTATCATCTCTATATCCCACTATAATAATCGAACGAATCTTCACATTCCTCTTCTCTTCTATCAACTTCCATAAATCATTAACACCGACTTTCTTACTGACAGTTATAGTAACCATACCTTTACCAAAAGATCTATAAATACAGGTTAATATATTATATCATTATCAACTGATATAAATACAGGTTAATATATTATATCATTATCATATCATTATCAACTGATATAAATACAGGTTAATATATTATATCATTATCAACTGATATAAATACAGGTTAATATATTATATCATTATCACCTGATATAAATACATCACATTGTTTCACTAGTCAGTATATTATTCAAGTCACCTCTGTTTATACATCAGGTAATATTAGTTGGTTATTATTCACACTAGCCACATGATATAGAAACTTTTTATTGTAACAAACCAGTCAAGAGTGTTTGTTACACTTGGTCAAAATTCAACACTTACAATTTGTTAAGTTTACAATTCATCAACATATTTAAAATGAACACATTTACTTACAGGCATGATAGCTTTAGAGTAATATCATTACTCGTCTCCAGTTCAGCCACCCTGTTTTTCAAACTCGATTTTTCAACACACTTCGCTTGCTTAAATTTAAAAATGAATTATTTATCCTACCACCACTGAAAGACACTGATTACGAGATATCGCTCTCCGATAATTCCTGATGTTTTTATGGCGTCATAGTTGGGACCCAAAATGGCGCCTGTAAATGAGTATATAGATAAAGTTGCGACAACTGTGAAGCCAGAAATTTCATGTGACGTCATGAAAATATGACGTCAAGTGTACAACGACGCCATCTTGGGTCCCAAGTATTTGTTACTATTTATTTTATGTCCTATCATATTGTTGTGTCGAAGTTGGCTGCCCCCAGATAGGGGCGTAGATGACTATTTCATAGAATTCCGCGAAGAGGTAAAACATACATTTTATCAACGAAAAGTATAGCTGAACAAACTATTATTATTATTACTATTATACAACAAAAAGCGCACATTATTGTTATAATGATATAGTTTAATTCATAAGAAGATGAAATGAAAGATACACCAGATAAAAACGCTATTAAATATATTTAACTTGCATACGCTTTTAAAAATCAGGCCCCGAGTTCACAAAGCATTCTCAGATTTACGTTAAGAATTTACTCAACTTTCAACCACCGTTTATGGGAAATTTTATTGATCCAGAAACACAAAACTTTGCACATTGTGTCTTATTGATGTATTTGATACATTAAAACAACAAAAGTTTTATAAAGGGTTATATTGTAGTTAAAATAAGGCCAACAATTTTGAGTAAATTCTTAACTTCCGTCTGAGAATGCTTTGTGAGCTTGAGGCCTGATTTTTTGTGCAGACGGGTAAAGTGAAAAATGAAAATTTAAATAGTAATTTGGGAGATAAAACCTTTTTGCCTTCTAGCCGACAAAATAAATGCCTGAAATTCCATGATTTTTTGGTCTGGAGAATTCCGGATTGTGTGTCAGTTTTCGGTCATCGATCATTAATTGTATCATCAATTTTTCGAAAATAGAAATTTCTTTAAATTGTCTAATGGATAAAACATTTAAAATCAACGTAGCTTAAAACCAGTGTAAAATCAGTGTAATTTAAAGAAAAAAGGTGTCTAACAGCGTGACATGTGTTTCAGACATATGTTTCATAAGTGACATGTGATACGAGATAGAGCTCTCCGAAACTTTCTGGTTTCTTTTGAAATTTGTGTAAAAAATAATATTAATCTAATATATAAACCGCACAAATTTAACAGATACAAATTATGTACATGTTATTCCACAGGTTCACTGACAGCCCAGTGAAGGAGACAGTTGGTTTAGAGTTTGTCCGACTCCTTTGGGTACTTGTGCCCCATTTCCAATGAAATAATCATGTTGTTCTGATGCTCAACTAGCATCAAATATATATCGTGTCTGAGGTTTGTCACAAATCATATCGACCATGTTCCACACATCTCAACATTTATCAGCTTTTTGTTCAATATATAAAAGCCTACATTCCTACAATATGTTTTGTTCAGTCAAGTGAAAAAAGAAAATTCATGGGCTAAATGGAACAATAGAACAAGTACACCATAATGTCGACAAATACGTAAAACTATTAAATAAGATACTATTATGATATGATTCAACCGAAAGGTCCTATATATGCAACATAGATATATAATATCTACATTCAAGTTAAACGAACTGCATCTATTCATGTTAAGTCTTGCGCCGAGCTGAATAAAGTATATGATTTATTGTCATTAAAACATCTATGGGTGGTTAACAGATTATAACTAAAAACTATAATTGGATCTTTATTGCCAACATTTCAATGTACCGAGAATTTTCACCACCAAGTCCATTGCATCTAGATGTTTAAAGCGCGTTCACATTATATTCATTTCGGGATTAATATACCACATATTACAAGTCATTTTGGATTTCTACCATCAGGAATTCTAGAAATTAAATTTTTGAGATTATCGTTGCCCTTTTATTACCAAATTAATCTTGTTTCTTTTTTTTTTTTTTTAAATGGTATTATATTACCAAATTTGGCAGTCATTTTGAAAGAAATGCCCGCCACCAAATGAAAAATACATTTTATAAATTGATAACTTGCATAACTACTCTGTGTTTGAGGAATTTAAAAAGAATTATTTATCCTTTCACCATTGAAAGACACTCAGTACAAGTTATCGCTCTCCGATAATTCCTGAAGAACGCCAAATTTAATTCTATTAATCGTGTCATTTTGCATTGGCCGATTTTGAGCATGATTTTGTCTGACATATTTATCATTGAACCAAACTGCATTGGTTTCTTTTGCAATTTGTTTAGGACCCGTAAAACGTTATGCCAAGAAAACAATAAAACTTTTTGCTAAGTAAAGCTATATGACGCCATGACGTCATAGTTTTTATGGCGTCATGGTTGGGACCCAACATGGCGCCTGTAAATGAGTTGTCGTAACTTTCCCTATACAGGGCTTTGGGTTACACTGGTTATTGACGTCATAAACTGACGATGACATCCAAACAACATTTAACACGTACTATTATTTTATAAACGTGACGTAGTTGTACTTACTGGGGTGGTGGCCATTGTTCTTGTCTTTATTATTCTATGACAACTTTCTTCCACTAGAGTTCCCTTAGGACCTTACTAAAGACAAACAGAACTGTATAACACTGGAACAGGGGGTTCTATAAAAATTACCCATAGGAAAAACACAGTCTATGTATAGCGTATTAATCACGTGTTATAGTCTTGTATAAATTGTCTCACTACTATTTACGTTGAGCGAGATCAAATACCGAGATATAAGTATAATATTTCTACACTCATGAATAACCATTCTCGATATTGAATACAATCTTGAACACTAATAGATTACGGTATTATAAGTTTAACCTAGATATATTAATAGAAAAAAAGTGTTGTAACAGACTGATTGAATGCTCACCTGTTGGCTGACCTATAGGTGTTCAGGTGTGTCTGGATAACTTCGACTTTTGAATTCTAGAAACGGGTGTATATATGACATCAGTGGAAATCCCAGTCTAGTTATACGTGTTACGACAGCTTGTAAATCTGGTAATTTCATATCAAATCCCGACCTGTCGTTATTCTATACATGGAGCCATGGTGGCTAGGTGGGTAAGACGCTGGCTCGCTATCCTGGAGGTCGCGTGTTCAACCCCTGCATTGGCCGAGAAATTTCATCTGGATTTTCCGACGTGATTTTCCATTGTCAGTGGTGCAGGACAGCTGTGTAGTCGTTCGGATGGGACACAAATCCGAGATCCCGTGTATATATTAGCGTGTACCTAAAAGATCCATTGACAGTTGGAATTCGATATAAGAGTAGACCCTTATAGTACCGCTGCCCGGGCAAAATTAGCCAATTCGAAGCAGAACAGTGGGACGTTAATTTGTTCTATACATTCCGATAATTTTAATCTATATATGTAACTAAACCTCATAAGTTAAAGTTCTGAGTTATTTTATAACTCATTTTATATTCATTAAACACGAACTAGGTCATTTCCGGGACTAACATATGATTCAGTTTACGCTTGCAATGTACAGCGTGTACACATTAAAAGTTAGAACTTCGTATAAGAGATGTCATAGTGCTGCTATCCGAGCCAAGTTACAATTATACAATAAAAATGTTTATTTTTCCAAAGCTAACAAAAATTTATAAATTCAAACAATTGCTTTAGGTAATTGCATTCATACAAATTTCTCCAAAAACTTTAATTCAGCATTTACCATTGAAATAACTTTTCAATTTATCAATTTTGTGTCCGTAGTTAGTGATTATCGAAACTACTCTTGTTATAAATCTTATAAATCCGTATCAGTAATGAGTTCAGAAAATGAAATGAAATGGGGCTTAACGTCCTACTATTCTACTCCGACGGGCATACGTCATACAGTGTGGTATGAGGGAAATTTTGCCCGGGAAGCGGCACTATGGCCTACACTTATATCGAATTTCAACTGTCAAGGGATCTTTCGCGTACATGCCAATGTCCCATCCGAATGACTAGACTGCTTCCCTTGTCAGACTCTCCACCCTGCACCACTGACAAGGTGGAACCACGTCGGAAAAATCCCGATGAACTCTCTCGGCTAATGCAGCTAGCTTGCCAGCGCCTTACCCACTTAGCAACCGTTGCTCCCAATGAGTTCAGGAACGCCGTAACAAATAAATATATGGTTAGAATAAGCTTTCCATATTCTTTATATAATGTGGGTGGGAGGGGTGGGGTTGTGTTGCCGAATGGTTAGCGCGTACGCGTTCTATCATAAGGTCTGTCATTGAGTCAACTGGCGTGGTTTCGATTCCCCGCTTGTACGTGACAAGAAGTAGGGTCGCCTATCCAACCTCGTAGGTTTTCTCTGGGTCGTCCGGTTTCCTCCGACTGCTAAAGACAACTACGTGCAAGCGAATTATTGAAATAAAAATTGAACCATGTGTTAATCCCGAAATGACTTAGTTTGTGTCGAGTGGATGTTAAACCCTATCTCTCTCTTCTCTCTCTCCCTTTATATAATGTACCATCAAGATATCCATAACATGGCGGTTAGCGTCTTACGGTATACGTTTCTCCAACAACATAGTTAATCAAGTGGACGATACGGTAAATTGTGTCCGGCCAGCGGCGCTACGACCAATTCCACCAAACCATCTAGGTGCTTACCGGGCCCTCCGTCCTGCACAACTGACAACTAGAAACTTCGCCGAGGAAATGAAATGAAATGGGGTTTAACCTCCTACTGTCTGCACAACTGACAACTAGAAAGATTTCCGAGGAATTCCAAACGCCAACACCGGGATCTTGAAGAAGAGTTGGCGGAAACGACGCTGTCCAGGCAATATGTCCCGTCATATCACATTTCATGTGGTATACCCGTCTTCATTTATTCAGTTGTTGCAGTGCAGAAGAGAGGAACGTTAAACCCAATCTCATTTGTTTTTCGCTAGATATGGTCGCCCATGGTGGTCGATCCATTAATCCGCTACTGCTTGTAGCACTGAATCTACCAGAAATGACTGGTAGATTTAAGCCAATTAGTCTTTCCTGTGCTAAGTTATAAGTGTTTGAAATTTCGACCACATGTAGCGTAGATTGTTTATTACCGTAGCAACAGTACTTAGAACCCAGACAATACACCTTTAAACTGTTCACAACACAACTAAAAACCAAAGATCAATAACTTGACACTAGGTATAACAATTGCCACAATTATACCGGACGCTGTCGATACAATTCATCCTTTCGATACTGAAGAAGTTTTACGATGAGTAAGTATAATCATCAAATAAATACTGTTATTAACTCAAAATAAAGTCGAAATCTATATTTGTTTTTATTGGCGTGATTTTATCAATATATGTACACTCATTGTATTGTAGAAATCTTAAAGTCTCTGATATCTTTAAACCGGATATCAGTATTTTTAAAGATATGATGAATGGAAAATTCGCAGCAGCTAGTATCCCTTGCAGACGACAAAAACAGCCAAAAAGAATCTTTTTTTTTTTTTTAAAAAAGGGTATCTCTGGATTGTTATCGAATAACAAATACTTAATTAATTAGTTTATGGTGTAATTGGTAGGCTAGCTGTTGGTTTAACGTCTTCTTTCACAGGCACGAAATAGTCGAAGTTTAATATCTAGCTTCTACAATAGTAATATAACAGACAGGGATTAGTTGAAGTATAACACCTAGCTTCTACAATTGTAATATAACAGACAGGGATTAGTTGAAGTATAACACCTAGCTTCTACAATTGTAATATAACAGACAGGGATTAGTTGAAGTATAACACCTAGCTTCTACAATAGTAATATAACAGACAGGGATTAGTTGAAGTATAACACCTAGCTTCTACAATAGTAATATAACAGACAGGGATTAGTTGAAGTATAACACCTAGCTTCTACAATAGTAATATAACAGACAGGGATTAGTTGAAGTATAACACCTAGCTTCTACAATAGTAATATAACAGACAGGGATTAGTTGAAGTATAACACCTAGCTTCTACAATTGTAATATAACAGACAGGGATTAGTTGAAGTATAACACCTAGCTTCTACAATAGTAATATAACAGACACGAACTAGTTGGTTTAGCTTCTACAATAGTAATATAACAGACAGGGATTAGTTGAAGTATAACACCTAGCTTCTACAATAGTAATATAACAGACAGGGATTAGTTGAAGTATAACACCTAGCTTCTACAATAGTAATATAACAGACAGGGATTAGTTGAAGTATAACACCTAGCTTCTACAATAGTCATATAACAGACAGGGATTAGTTGAAGTATAACACCTAGCTTCTACAATAGTAATATAACAGACAGGGATTAGTTGAAGTATAACATCTAGCTTCTACAATAGTAATATAACAGACAGGGATTAGTTGAAGTATAACACCTAGCTTCTACAATTGTAATATAACAGACAGGGATTAGTTGAAGTATAACATCTAGCTTCCACAACTGTAATATAACAGACAGGGATTAGTTGAAGTATAACAGACAGGGATTAGTTGAAGTATAACACCTAGCTTCTACAATAGTAATATAACAGACAGGGATTAGTTGAAGTATAACACCTAGCTTCTACAATAGTCATATAACAGACAGGGATTAGTTGAAGTATAACACCTAGCTTCTACAATAGTAATATAACAGACAGGGATTAGTTGAAGTATAACATCTAGCTTCCACAACTGTAATATAACAGACAGGGATTAGTTGAAGTATAACACCTAAGGCGTTTTTGTGAGTCGATTAGATTAGGTTTTGATTTGCTAGTACGATTTGGTATGATTTCGATTTGATTAGCTATGGTCCACAGATGTGAAATTTGATAATTACGATTTGGTAAGATGGCTGCCATCACGGACACCGATCAAAAAAAAATTGTCTCTCCTAACATGATGAGAGGGGAGTGTGTTTCACGTGTAGTCCAAATTACCTACAGATTACAGTGACACTGCTGGCACCCAGAGGGCCTACAATTGCTTAGAGCCAGAGGTGATCTAACATTCTTGTGGACTATAAAGTTAACATTAAAGGAGCTAAATCGCTAACATTTTGGACCTAGAAATTGACAAAAGTGGGTCGCAATGCATATAATACTGTAATATGAATGTATATAAACTGATTTACATTCAATGGTTTCCGTTTTTACTCCAATTTCAAATCCGTTGTGTTCGGCGAAATAAGCCAGCAGTCTTAAGCGAGTGCAAATTTCTAGCGTCTGGTTATTCCAGTTTACATACGCCGTTTGATTTGGTGCAATGTGTCTAGCCTCGTCCCTCGAGTCTCTTGATACAACTAGGGCTGAAGCGCATTATGGTACACGATTCACGATTCGTGTACCAATGGTAAAATGTTTATTTTGTCTTAAATATTGGATATCAAAAGCCCATCTTTTCCCGTTAAGATCACAACATGAATGTTGATATAATTTGACAAATAAATCGTGTTTTCAATGTTGAAGATTTTGGATGATATTGAGTTAGAGACTTAGCTACTTTAAACACATCAAATGCGTTTTAAAAAAAACATTTTTTATGGAGAAAAACAACAATAAGCATTAAAAATTACTTACGATGTCGAACATTCCGCCGTTTTGAAAACGTCAAATCTAATCGCCTAAACACCTCCTGGGACGATTAGGTCGATTTGCCTAATCAGTTGAGTTAAAT